TCGTAGTCGCGTTAGGGGCGCGTTCTAGCGCGTCGCCGTCGAATTATTGTTTAAGAGACGTTACATATCTCTGTAGCACGTTTTACACTTTAAACACGTTAGAATTTAATATTAAAAAGAGTAATTAATTATCTAATTTATTAGAATTTAATTAGGCACTATGTGCTTAAGATATGTCGCGTTGTAGTGTTAACGGTAGCGCGCTAATAGGGAGGTGGCCGCTCACTTAGGGTGGCCGTCTACCTATGAACCACGTTATATAGAAATATCTAATATCTAAAATAGTTAAGAATATTTAGTTCTTCTTAAAATTTTTAGATTATTATTAAAAGTTTATTAGAAATTATTTCAAGATTACTATACCTCTTATAGAAGTAACGAATAAGGAAATAAGATTTAAATAAGAATAGAAATATTAAGAGGCTTTTAACAAAATAAAGTAGATATTCCTAAAGGTACTAGTACTTAAGATATACAAACCTTAGAGACGTACTAGAATTAAGACGACCGCGTCTAACTATGTACTCAGAGCTATATTATTATAGTAGTACCTAGATAGAAAATAGAGATTAGTATTCTACTATTTATAGAAGTTTTTAGAAGTAGAACTTAACTATAATATTTATAATAAGGAACTACTTAGAGTGTTCAATATCTTTAAATAATAGAAAGTCTATCTACTAGAACTACTATATTAGATTAAGATATATACTAATTACTAGAACTTAATAAGTTTTATAATAACTAAGAAATTTAACAAACGATAAGTACGCTAGATAGAGGTACTAGCCTAGTTTGACTTTAAAATTATGCACTACGCGGGAACGCTTAATAGAGCTATAAATACTCTGAGTAGAAGGTCTAATTTATATAAAGAGAGTTATAAGGAACTATATAACGCCTTACTAAAGATAATACCTAATAGTAGTCTAAAGTATAACTAGCTAGAACTAGCTAAAGTAGCTAAGGTAGCTAGGCAGGTGGAAACGTTATAGTAGTAATAGTAGTAGTAAGCAGCTAGATAGTAATTAAAGCCTAATGAAGCAGGCTCTAATAAACTATTAAACGACGAACGAGAGTACTAAGATATAGTTTTAAAGAATTAAATATAAATACCTTTATATATAAGATCAAATCTTATATAAGAACTATATAAGTCGTTAGAATATAGACACGCAGGAATTAAAGAAATATTTAGACGACTAGCTAAGGTATTAATAATACTACGCTTATTAGTAAAGATATAAAGATTCTAAGTAACGTATTTCACCAGTGTGCGCCCCACCCCAGTGTGCGCCCCACGAAATCCTAGTACCTTACCTGCGTAATAATAACGCGTAATGTCTCAACAACGCCGAACTTTAAAGACCTATACTGAAGCTGACGTTACTATTGCTATCTCTGATCTACAAAAACGCGAAAATATAAGCCTAAGGCGCGCTGAATTAATCTATAGTGTGCCAAGACGGACGATACAACGGCGACGTGATGGAAAGCCTTGTCGACGCGACTACGAACCA